GTTATTAATGAAATATCGCCGTTTTGAGGTAAGTACAGGTATATGAAATGTATATTTTCTTCAACAGTTGTTTTGTTAACTCTCTTGAGCTTTCTCAAATAACAACGGCACTGATAGACAAGGACAAAGATGATTTGGAGCATTGATAAAGATCTAGTTATGTATTAGGTCTCTGATCAGGGGTCACAGAAATATTGTTCGAAGTAGTCTAGCGATGGTCACATGGAAGGAGACTGAAGGCCATCTCATCATTTTGGATGAATGAAGATAACTCAGTAATATTAATATTGTCCTTCACCTAATAATGACAGAATCAGTTCTTTGTCACTGGGCAGTCGGAGCTGTTCAGCAGAGGGCAACATTAGAACTCTGTTATACTGCCAGCCCCGCTATACCGCCAACTTCGATTGGTCATGACCTATTGTCCCTGTAAAAATAGTTCACAATAACGCCTTGCACACGATAACGTGAAGGCATATTATGTGAAGTATTTCATGACGTCAATAGCATTGGGCTTTCTCACTTCTCTAGACAGTCCAGGGTTCTGATAAATATTTCGTCTGTTGTGTACGTGTGATTAGACAGGCTGACATCGTCGAAGAGAAAAGCACAATGCGCATATAGGGGCCCAGATAAAAATGCCCTGTTGCCCAGACTGCAGTTACTAAAAGAGGCACACTAGGGAGGGGGGGTGTTATAGTTGTTGTTGTTGTTGTTGTTGTTGTTGTTGTTGTTGTTGTTGTTGGTGGTGGTGGGGGGGGGTGAGGGGGAGGGGGGGGGGGGCTTTCAAAAACTGGAATCAGCCGCAAGCAATGCATTACAAACTCTCACTGTGGACAATCATCGCTTTAAGTAGTTTAAGTGCAACCGTCTCTTAACCGAAAGCAGAACTAACCGAAGAAAATCCTGAAGGCCTGCAGATTTCAGTTTAATTACGTGGACTCCAGTGTATTTATTTTATTTGAACGCGAAGGCCCACATTCATCAGAGAAATATGCATAAAAATACATACACATAATAGAACCTGACATTTTCCAGCCCAAGGGAAAAAAACCGTAACTTTTAAAAATGGTATTCAGGACAGGAGTATGTAACACTCGTTTCATGAATACCACAGCTGTTGATATCATAGTGTACTAGATCTAGTCTAGTACGCTATGGTTGGTACATCTATTACGTTTATAGCTCTTAACGTTCACTGTCCTGCTCTGGGAAGGCTGTGCATAATATATAATATTACCCAGGTGTTAAGCATAGAGTGAAAATGAGTTAAACCGAAGTAGCTTTACCCACTGTCAAGGAGAATAATGGTTATCTCAGACAGGTAGACGTCTGAAACAGTGTCTCTATTTTTTTTAAAAAGAAGCTACACCAGGAAGGAATTAATGGGAAGTGGCCTTCTGTACAGGTGGTTGTATTATAGTATTGTGGTACCGTTAGAGCAGGTTCGACTGTATTGCAAGCAACGTGCCTGTAACTGACTGCATATTAAAGTTGAACTTCATTATACCGCCCCCACCATTGGGACAAGCACGAAGATGTCAAAATAGTAGGGCTGGTGGTTTAACGGGGTTCCACTGTTAAATTGTTTCGACTGCTTTAAGTCAAGGATAATGATTCTAATGTGAGATGTGTTTGAAAAATGTTGTGTTTTTGATGGTGATTTACAAGTACATGTATATGTATTCAGAGTCTCTCTCTCTCTCTCTCTCTCTCTCTCTCTCTCTCTCTCTCTCTCTCTCTCTCTCTCTCTCTCTCTCTCTCTGTGTATGTATGTGTATGTAAGTGTGTGTATGTGTGTATATGTGTGTATGTGTGTGTGTATGTGTGTGTGTGTGTGTGTGTGTGTGTGTGTGTGTGTGTGTGTGTGTGTGTGTGTGTGTGTGTGTGTGTGTGTGTGTGTGAGTGTGTACAAATTCAAACCCAGCTGAAGTAAAGATGTCGTTAATTCAAATTAAAAATTTCTGTCGGATCAGAAGCTAGGCAATAATGTCAAGGTTCCTGAAGACATAGTTTTGAAAATGTATTTTTAAAATGTTAATTCTATTTTGAAAACCCGATGCCCGTCAGTCCTCGATCTACTTCAGACCTGTCACCACACTTAAGCCAAGTTAAGCGCGAGTCATCACAAAAATAAAATATTGCAGGTACCTACCAGTTTTGGGGCCATCGTTCTGATATCTGGGAACGTCAGATATTTTGCTTGCAGATAGAAGTGTTGTGTGAGAGAGGTTACCAAGCAGTCAGAGTGGGTGCCGTGCACCATGCGTGGTGTGTATTCCTGGCAGTCTGTTCGTTGGGGGGCGGTATTAGGGCTGGGTCATGAGCGCGAGAACGGAACTGAATCGCCACTCTTTCCTGCGGAACGCGATTCACGATTCACTTCAGCGGAACGCGGAACAGTATGGCCAAACGATTCCCGATTCACTCCCCTGTCACTGTCACTACTTTGTGGCTTGTTTAACCTACTGCTGAGTCGTGAGTCGAGTCACGAGCGCAAGAACGGAACGGAACACTTAGTATGGCTCCCCTTATTTTACAAAAGATGGTATAGTCCAACCCCCCTATTAAAACAAAATGAACGGGGTCCAACCAATAGACAAGGAATTTTATGGGGCCATTGTTTTAGCGAATCATGGGGTTGGGGGGGGGGGGTATTTATGGGGGTCACTAATTGAGATCAGTGGATAGAGCAGCGCAACAAAGGGTGTGGGGCTGAGAGGATGGCGGAACAACAAGAGTGAGACTCGAGCTCGCCCAGAGGCGTTGATATGACACTGTTCCGTTTCAGTCAGTGTTCCGCCACAGCTCCACGAGCGCTCGCGTACTCGCGATTCATTGAAGCCGACTGAATCGCGAATCGCCACTCTCAAATATGACGAGCAGGATCCAACCCTAGGCGGTATGGCGGGGCAAATAGACATTAGTTTGATAAGGGCAGTACAATTCAAACAGTTGGCAAATGATGGTGTGAAGACGCAACTACCATGTTTGTATAGTATAGGCATTCTTTTTCCTAAATTGGCAAAACCAAGCGTTAAGCAGGGCTGGCGGTAAAACAGGAGCGGTCTAAAAGGTTTGACTGTATATTGCCATTTGATTTTACAGAATCGACATTAACTTCATATTCTTATCAAGCTGGTGATGAAGGATCTAGGGTTCTAGCTCAGATTCTTCTGACTTCTGACGCCATCATAAGATTAACATTATGAGAAGCTATGAAATACTAGAAGGGGAGCATCATACGAGAAAACTCATGACCAGGACCTCAGCCAAGCATATGAACAGTCTAAAAGGAATACAGAAAACAAGAAAAACATAGGTTTGAAGAAGTCTGTATATATTTATTTTTAATTCCAAGGAGATTAAATGTTGTCCATAAAACTTGTAGTAGGCAGTAAGCTGGTCAGTTTCTTAAACCAAAACTGATCGTTATACAATATACAGTTTAAAATTACTTTCATGGCATAACAAATGTAACCATTGCACATATTTCAACAAACATCATTCAAGAAAATTGCATCTTTGACTATTTGTACAAGTGAAATGCTTTGCTGCTATAAGAGGCATATTGAGTACCGGTACACAGCAGACCGAGAAGTGGCAAGAGTGAAGAATAAATGACACGGACGATACACTGAAGTAAATCAAGGAAACACAACTGAAAATGATTTAAAAAAATGATATGCACAGTGTCAATTTGTAACTCATTTGCAACGCTGTTATAGAAACCTCAAATACAACGAATCAAGAGGTTGAATCTGACGTACTTGTTAGATGAGAGGTTTACTGCGCATGAGAAGTGGCCACAAAAATAATCTTGTTATGCCCCTGTAACAGTTTCAACAACAATGTTCGAGAACAAAACACTAAAACAGTTTTGAAAGCAATGTTAAATTTTGCACGGAACTTGTATAAACTGTAATATATCTTTGGAAGTGCAGGTATAGAAGCACAGCAAGTAATGCAAAGCTCAGTGTTAAAAACCATGGAAAGCGTTAATTTTGACCTCATGTGACAAACTAGGGACATTGAGAAAATAATGATGATGATAATGGTGACTTTGATTATAATAATTATGATGATGTTGATGATGACGAAGAAGGGGATGCGGACAAAGGTGAATTACTTTTATTTTTCTTCAACATTAGTCATATCTTTACTTTACTTTTTTACTTTCTTTCTTCCGCTTGTACCGGTGGGTGCGCGGAGACACACAGCCTCTGTCAGTAGCAAGGCGAGTGGACTGTAGGAGGGACCTCCCGTGGACTCTGAGGGTGTCTGCCACAGATTCGCACTAGCGTCGTCTTGGTCTTCCTCTGGCTCTCCAGCAAGAATACCTGGTGTTGTATGCTCTCAGAGCGGGTTGGTTTGAAGGCATCCGTGTGAGGTGTCCGAACCACTTGATCCTCTGTTTCTCAATGTTTGGTAGGAATGGTGTTGATCCTACCATGTCTCTCACGACTTCATTTTTGATCTTGTCTCGTCTTGTCTTGTTTACCACTCTTCTTACATATTTTAAAAACTGCCCAGGTTTTTTGGAATCACTAGTATGTTTCAGTTGGGATCCATTGATATCGATATCCATTTTGTTTGGTCTCCTGCAAACTGTCATGACCTCGGTCTTGCTAACACTGATCTTCATGTCATATTTTTCGCAGCTCTCGTTACTTGGTTAATATGCTCCTGTTGTCGTGTCTTGTTTATTTATCATTGCCAGATCGTCTGCAAACATGCGTTCGTTAAGTGCCTCTGGGTCATACTTGTACACGAGTAATTCTCACTACTCTTCGCTGTCAGAGATAAAACTGTATCTTCACAATGATAGAAAACTAATAAAAAGCTAATACTCGTTGAAAGCAAGAAAATATTATCAAAATTTTCAATGGCGGCACCAATATCTTAAAAAACCCAATCTTTGTAAAACATGAGCATAGCTTTGTTAACAACTTATGGTGTATTGCAGCACTCATATTAACAATGACTATGAACGAAAATCATCATAGCTTGGCTGCGGCATTGTTTCCCCATTGATTACAGTTGATGTATCTTCCTCCATCAGCACAGGTAAAGTCGCCAGTGAGAAACTTTGCAGCATCAGATGCATAGAATGCAATAATTTCTGCTACGTCCTCTGGTGCCCCATTGAAACCCAGCAGGGTTCTTTTTGCACAAGAAGAGAGAAACTGAAAGGAATGAATGAGAAGAGAGATATAGCCAATCGGTAAACGGTTACATTGAACAGCTGTCAAAGGAAATTATTCACTATAATTTCCTCTTTATTCTCCAACTGGATCTCAAGGGTAGTACAGTAACCAGTTGGCCATTCACTCCACATAACACTGCTTGCCGACTGGACAAGTGACCATTGATCCCACCGGCTGGGCCTCTGTTGTTGTTGTTGTTGTTGTTGTTGTTGTTGTTGTTGCTGTTATTGTTGCTATTGTTGTTATTGTTGTTGTTGTTGTTGTTGTTGCTGTTATTGTTGCTATTGTTGTTATTGTTGTTGTTGTTGTTGTTGTTGTTGCTGTTGTTGTTGTTGTTGTTGTTGTCGATCCAGTGCTGGGCTTCTCAAATCCCCTCCATCGCTGCCTGTGTGTACATGTATATTATATTATTTTCCTCCCGGCACATTGATTCCTTTCAGGAAGCAACATTAAGCATTTTCCAAGGTGTGAAAGCTTTTATAAATATAATAATTCTTCTTCAATTTTCAACTTCCATGTTGTATTACTTGCTAGCACACAATACCTTTTAGTTTGTTCTTCCCATCCCAGCTACCATAGGGTTTGAGGTGTCACTATAAGAATAAGCCTTAGATAAAACCCAATTTATCAACTGACCATTAGTCCAGGATTCTAGTAAGGTGAGGAAAGCAAGTCGTCTCAGATGTAACGACTCCTTTATCATAGCACGCACATTATATATATATAATATATCTTCATCGTAACTCGAGAGAACAACAACCAAAATGTTTAATAAATATTATTTTAGCTTCAAATATCTGAAAACAAACAAGATCAATACTGCTAACAGTATAAGCTTATATTATAAGCAGGGCCGTCGAGAGCCAGGTCGGGCCCAGGGGTAGCAACCACCTTCGCCCCCCCCCCCGGCCTCACCCGCCATCACCTGCAATTTAATAACCCAACAAATACAATGTACATAGGCAGAGGCATATATAATCACTCTACTGTAGCATATCTATTACATACCAACATACGCTCTCTCTCTCTCTCTCTCTCTCTCTCTCTCTCTCTCTCTCTCTCTCTCTCTCTCTCTCTCTCTCTCTCCTTAATGTCTCTTACACACACACACACACACACACACACACACACACACACACACACACACACACACACACACACACACACACACACACGGGCAAAAACACACACACACACACACACACATACATCTTCACTACCCTTGGAAATGCATTTTGCGAAAGAGATGTTTGTATAAAAGCTAATTCCCCTTTCCCCCCCCCCCCCCTCGCACACATACCCCAGCCTCCTTTGTCTTGTCCCCCTCCATCAAGTGCTGGGTGTTGGCAACTGAAAATTTTTATGATTTATCGGGTAGATAAAAATGAAGGTAAGATGAATAAACCAATGACTGAAATTAAAATAAATTGTAATGTAGCATACTTTTTTTTCTTACAACAACGGAGCCTTACGGCATTTAGCTCTAGCAAAACTGTCAATTATTGGTTCGTATTCCAATTTTCGCGCTGGACTGGCCTTTATGGCCAAAATTCTACTACTTGTGAGTCTGTCTTGATGTATTGTGGACCGCAAAATGTTTTTCACCCGAGAAAGGGTACTGAAGGAACGTTCAGCTTGCGCAACTGTGAATGTGACAGGCAAGGTGCAGAAGATTCTCAACATGATAACAACGTTTGGAAACAAAGCATCCAGTTTCAGGGAATGAGGTCTGTTCAGCAACTGAAGAGGCGGCAGGACATTTTCTCCAATGTGCGCTGGATGAATCACTTTCAAATGTTTCAACTCTTGCACAAGGTCGGCTGGTGCATCTACTGCATATACATGTATTCCGTGTGCAATTTGTTTGCAAGATCACGAATAACGCCGTATTCCTCTTGAACATATTTCCACAAAACGCTTAATAACGAATCCAGTTTTTATCACAGCATTATACCTTGTCAAATTTCCAAGAAGGCAGTCAATGAGGACATAAAAAACTTCATGTTTGAATTTTTGTTCTCGGGATTTTGGTAGTCTGTTACATCTTCTGTCTCGTCTGCAAAAAGCTTCCTTTCTTTTGTCGTTTTGCTGTTTCGGCAAATGAATGCTCAATCTCATAGTTATCTGCTACTAATTTGGACTCACTCAAGACTGCGTCCCATTCATCCCGTAAGCTATTCAGATCTTTAATCAGACTATTGATATTTGCCACCTCAACGTCAAGAGTCGCATCTCGTGCTTGAAGTGCTCTCTTTCTGTGATCGTTTGCTTTGAGGATTTTGAGCCAAACAGATACCATTATCACACTTTCAAATCCTGCAACGTACTTAAGAATACCAATCAAACCTGAACGTTTTTCTGGGGTTAGGTTCATTTGAAGAACAGTTTGAGCAGCTTTCCTCAGTCCCCCAATGTGAACCGCAAAAGGCCTGAGACTGTCAACGCGTGCTGACCAACGTGTCTGAGACATACTGTGCAAAGAGCTGGGAATATTTTGCTTCAAAATTTCTCACCTTTGTGGACTGGAGCTAGAATGTTATACAGCTTCTGTACAACTCCAAAGAAAGTTATGACTGCTGAACAGCTTTCTGCAGAATGCACACCATTACCACACAAATTCAAACTCTGACAGCCACAGGGAGAGTATGTGGCAAGTGAACACTGTCTTAAAATGTGAGCCTGTGCACCATTATACAGACCACAAATGTTGCTACCGTTGTCGTAGCCTTGGCCTCGGCAGTCTGTAATTTGAATGGTTTTTTTCATTCAGTGTATCAAGGATAATTTTAGCGATGTCTTCTCCTGTTTTCTTGTTACAATCTAAACATTTCAGGAATCTCTCTTCTACTTTGTAGACATTTGTATCACTGTCCAAGTGAACATAACGCAAGGGGCTCTCGTGGCTTAGAGGTGAAGGTGTTGGCCTCTCATTCAAAAGGTCCCGGGTTCGAACTCGGGTAGCGACCGAAAAATTTTCTTCTCTAAATTTGTCTCCTTTCACCTCATTTCCTGCTCTCTAGCAATGTTCTGTCGTCTGCTTTCGTCTCTTCTTTCTGCCCCCACCCCCTCACCTCCTTTGCCCCTTCCTCTGGGCTCCTGATTCTTTCTGCAGCCTTTCTACTGCTACTCCTTCGCTTCTTCTTACTACTGTCTTTCAGCCACATCCCTGATCTTCTGGTAGGAAAGATCTACACCTAGTCTTCTCGAGCAAGGGCGAAAAATCTCGGAGGGCCCGTGTGCAAGTTGCGCACGTTAAAGATCCCTTGGAGGTCTAAAATCGATTAGAGTAGGCTTCGGCTGCCACCCGGGCAAAATTCCAAATTTCCTACCAACTGAAAATATTAGGTGTGTCCCGCGCGCTCATATGACCTTATGCAGTTGCGAGCGCCGTAAAACACTTTACAAAAACAAAGAACATAACGCAAAATAAAAACAGTTTGTTCGACGAGTGAAGAGTCTGGTGTTGCATCAACGATAGTGGAGTAATATTTCGTTTCCGCTTTTTCATTCAAAATCACGTCTGTCACTTTAGATGCACAACATTGAATGAATTCATTCTAACTTTCTGGTGATAGATAGTGAACTTGTAGGCGCTTTTTTTTATTTTTGTGATTTTTCAACTTTAGTAAGATGCTCTGCAAGGAGAGGATCGTAATGGCCAATCAATTCCAGAAGTCCAAGAAAGCACTACCAAAGTTCTGTGAAGTTGTCAGATATACAGCTCAACTTGCAGCCAAAATATATTTCATTTCAAAGCTTTGTACGGTTCTCTCTCTCTCTCTCTCTCTCTCTCTCTCTCTGTCTCTCTCTGTCTCTCTCTCTCTCTCTCTCTCTCTCTCTCTCTCTCTCTCTCTCTCTTTCTCTCTCTTTCTCTCTCTCTTTTTTCTCTCTCTCTTTTCCCAGTGCTTGCGGGCCCCCAAACTCCCGGGCCCCGGGGGCATTGCCCCCCCCCTGACCCCCTCTCTCGACAGGCCTGATTATAAGCAGAGACCGAACATGTTTAAAAATGTCTTATGGAATAATCTTTGAATGTAATGTGATGGCTCACCATGTTAGTACATTCAGTTTTGCTTTAGAGCATGAAAAGAAGAGAAAATCTTACTTGCTTACGAACACTATTGTCAGGAAAAGCGGCATTGAAAGCCGGAGTCACAACTACACCAGGCCTGAAACAATAATATTAAATGTAACATTAAATTGTTTACCTTTCGTGCAAAGTTTTTATGGAAAATTGTGAAAGTTAAAATATATTTATTATTCTGAATTTCATCCTAGTAAATCTTTTAAAGATCCTCACAAAAAATTAAATAATACTGAGGTTGGCATTATAAAGAGGTTTTCATATTATATATGAGGGTGAGTTGTTGGGTTCAACTGCTTCCAGGACCCATACATTATGATATATCCACCAAAATATGCTACTCTTGAGCACATCAGCTGTCATTCACATTCACTAAAGAAGCTGTCTGCACCATAAACAAACTATGCCTTGTACAGTTAGTGAGCTTATTATACCAATCAACTTTTGGCAGTAGAAAGGCATGCTATATCCTCAGGTAGGAACACAATTTAAAGTCAAACTGAGAACAGTAGCATTTAGCAAAGCAAGATTGGACTAACATGATATTTGAAAACGAAAGTCCAACCCGTCAGAATGGAAACATTTGGGTAAAGGAAGACACCATAGGAGGAGGTACAATGTATGCCTGCCACCTGTGTTTACAGTGTTTGTTCCAAATTAAGGTAAATATTGGCACAAACTTGTTTGGAGTTGTCAAAGCGAGACGAATATAAGATCTGATTCCTACTTAGCTCTAGCAGGCCGATACCATGCAAGTTGATGACTTGAAGGTCTTTGTCGTGTCATTTTCAATATTGCAGACTGATTGGAAGGGATGCTTTAAAAAAAGGGACACAGTGTAAAGTTGCATTTGTATCTGAAGTCAGACCTAATTGTACACAAGTTATTATTTTTGTATTCCCATTCAGAGACCCAGATAGTTCGCCATAGCGTCAATTTGCAAGTTGTTTAAGAGCTCAAATATAAATATGGGAAACTCTAAAGTGTTGGAAGAGACAAGAACCAGAAGGCGGAAAAGCGTTTCGTCTATTTCTCACTTGGAGGTTAATTAAGTATGATTCTTCTGGGAAGAGAAAAAAACTTGAGCCGTGGACGAAGGTAAATGAATAAATAAATAAATAAATTTTTTTTTTCAGTATGAGGGGGTATGAGGGGGGGGGGGGGGGGGGAGTTAAGAAAGAGGAAAGAAGGATAAATCAGCACAACAAGGTACATCTGTTCCAGTCAAAATATTCTATGGCAAAAAAAAGCAAAATGAGGTTTCCAAACTTTACACTTTTGATAGAAATAATATGTGCAGTATTGTGATGAAACTAGGTGCGCCTCAAAACAATGAAGTCGAAGAAACCGATATTTTTCCACCCATTGGGTAATTTTCATCCATTTTTTTGGCTCCTCGTCTTTTATGTCCATTTAAAAACACACAGCATATAAAATGTAAATTTGTAGTTTTGGAGAACACACATGCTTACTTTGGCAGCCATTTTCTTGCTAATTTTGCCTCTGAAACCAGGCGATCCCCCACCTATTTCAATTGCAAATATCTCAACCTCTATTCTATGTACATGGGTACTTTTTTTCAGCAAAAGCAAGGCAGATAATTATAACAAGCTTTACGATTATACCAATAACTCCATAAACCAAAAAATTGACAAGCGCCTGATTCTGCCGTATCATGACACATACATCTCGTATGTTTTCTTGAGAAACTCACAAGATTAGCAGGCACACTGAGCTAGCTCACCTGACGCAATTGACACGCACACCAGCTCGACCAAATTCTGAAATAGAAGGCAGTCATGTATTATCACACTGAACCCAAATGCAAGCCTGAATTTGACTACCTTTACCCTTCTCTTCACCTTAGTGAGTGGCAGTGTACGTCTGGCAGACGTTGCATAACCAGACGTGCACCGGTCCTTTAGGGTGAAGTGGGGTGGAGTAGGCCATTTCTTTGGGGGGGGGGGGGCTTTCAAAATGTTTAAAACGTGCTACATTGTGGTTAGCCTGATTGATCCTCAACCATATCAATTATATCGCAATGAACACACACGCGATCATAATTCAGCAACTGACAGCAAATACTATGTTTAATATGTTTTTCACTGAAAGGCAAACAGAATGACTTATCAAATGAATAAATGATATAAAGATGGTCTAGCAACTTTAGAATTATAGGATTGAGCTTAGAAAAGTGCACAATTACAAAATGTTTCCTTATAAATTCCATTAACAATTTAAACACAAGAATGTTGAGGGAAATCAGCTTTCCTGCTACACTGAATTGTTCTTCACATTTCAAACACGCACGTGGCAGTTGCAGTTACAAGAATATTTGTTACAGAAAGATGAAACAAAACCCAAAGTAATATATAAATGTAAAGCAATATATGCAATGACATCAGTAGGAAACACTGAATAAAATCGAAAGGCATTGGCTTATTTTATACTATATCTAGACAGAAAACAAAGCTCATGACATTTAAAACAAAGAAATGTATCTCTCTGAATGCAGTTAGGCTCGATACTTCACTTTTGATTTACTTAATTTTCTTTTTGATACAGCCTTGTAGTTCATATTAAATAACACATTTTGCAATACTAGTCAGCTGGCAATAAGCCAATATTTCATGACTCCTGATTTTTGAATATTGAAAAACAAAGCAACGAGCCACCTCCTTGTCCATTGATGAAACCTGGATCGTTTTTTCATGCCAATTTCTCTTCTGACGCCCACCCCGCCCCCTAAAAAACTTAACAAAAAATAAACAAAACAACGCCCCAACCCCCTCCCCCCAAAACAAACAAACAAACACAAAAAACACACAAAAACTAATAGCAACAACAAACAAAACCCCACCCCCCAAAAAAACCAAACAGCAACAAAAAAACAACAACAACCCCCCCCCCCCCCAAGAAAACCCAACAACAACAACAACAACAACAACAAAGGACAACCACCAAACAAATGCAAGATCACATGATTGCGGCATTGATTTACTTAATAAAACAAAAAGTATAATGATCTACCATCCGTGTTAAACCTGAATAAAAAACAAAACGTTAATCTCCGATGTAAGTTACAGACAAAGATGTTCCACACGGCTGATTGAATGCTAGTCGTCATATGACGTGAGTGCTTTAATTGATAAACTACAAGACCTGGAATTCATAAAACTGTGGTGTACATCAGTACCCCAGGGGACCTAAGATTCATTGAAATGACTCTTTGCCCTCATTCAGGGGTAACTTTTATCAAACAATATCGAGTTCACAATTGGTATTCAGTATCCACATCGATATAGTTAACATGTATAAACACGTCTCCCTGTTGCTAGAATGATGCTGTGACAAATACCACATGGTACCCAAAAACAATCAAGCTGAGGACTGGTATCTCCTTCAATTTTTGGTTTTGTGAAAGTGATAAGATGCCAAGCACCAAAGCTAATCATACATAGTCAGAGCCCCGAGTTTAAAAAACCTCGACTATGTCTGAGCTATTTTGAAAAAGGGAAAAATAAACTCTTAGTCTGTCTGGTCCCTCAGTAACACAGATTTTCAACTCACCTGCTGCAGCAAATTTAGTGAAGTTATCTAGGCCAACTTTTGCAAAGCTACTGTAGGGGAATGCACCTGGCCACTGTGGTATGGAAAAAAAGAAAGAAAATAAACAAACAGTACAACAATCAGTGAGCGCGCTTGAATGTACAATTAAGGAAGGGCATCCATACAATGACGAAGACAAGATTGCCCTATCAGACATGACATTGGAAACCAACTGGAAAAAGAAAAAGAGGAAAACCAACTGGAAGCTTAAGAGTCACAATACGGGATGAGGCAATCACCCAGGGCCTGGATTTGCCGAAATTGGAGAACGTGGCCAGGGACCGGCAAGCGTGGCGTCAACTGCACTCCGCCTTGTGTACCTGACGGTACTGGGAGAGAGTAAGTAAGAGTATCCATACAATAACTCATTCCAGTAGTGCAGCACATACAGATAGCCTTCCTGATGAATTGTGTGCATTTATGTGATGCATACTGCTTAAAGAACATAGAAGACATACAAAGAGAGTAACGAAGATTCACTGACTGAGGGCATTTTCCATCTGTCTGAGCAGCGATGATAAAAATGACATATAGAAGCTGACATATCAGCATCAAAGAACAAGAAATTTGTAAAAATATTATTCCAGACCACAAATGTAGAGATTTCAACTCAAAGACAATATGTTCACATTTTAAGCGACTGACTGTATTCATTATTATGAACTACTGAAGTAAAGAAAACAAGTATAGCCTTTATCTTCGAACTCTGAACACAATCTATTATACATGCAAGTAAATTACTAGATTTTCCAGGTAAATTGTGAAAAGAGGAAGATTGGGGAGTAGTAGCCTCCATAAAGTTGCACATTAAAATAAAAACAATCTTACGAGTCCCTGTTTCTCTCAATACATTTTAACAAAGTACAAACGAAGAAATCCCATCAAAAGACTGATTGTTAACTTTGAAAACAATTCCCAGGTCAACAATACGTAATTTGATTATTTGAAATATTTAGAAATTGTAAAAAGCTTTTACCACTTCTGTTGCAGTGATTCCAGAAACATTAACTATATTTCCTGCAAATGGAAAAAAAGAAAGCAAAGATATATTTTACAGCAAAAATATAAGCCATAATTATAATTCTGCTCCAAACTCTAAGCACTATTTATTGTGAACACATGAAACAGATTGTGGCTCATTCATCACAAACATTATAATTATATATGCACGGCAATATGATACCCATGCTCATGAGCAATTAGGTAGCTTTCAGCAACTTTGCATTAAGGTAAACCCCCCCCCCCAAAAAAACAAAACAAACAACAACACAACAAAACCCTATTGTACCTTCAATTTCATTGCTAATCCCAGTACCGATCTTTAAATTTCAATGCATTTTTGTCTTAACACTTGTTCCGTTTCCCAGATTGTTGAATTTGTTTCATGCAGAGTGTAATAATAAAACAGTATGTAACCCCAAAGACTATTAAAGTATTTAGAGATTAGCTGCATAGAAAATACAAAACGCGAATTACCTTTACGTTTTACCAAATATGGTAAGCATAATTTTGACAGAAGAACTGGCGCTTTCAGATACACGTTAAAAGCAAAGTCCATTTGGTTTTCGGTGATATCACGAAGGAAGCCTGGCTGGCTACCACCACCTGCATTGTTAACCTTATAAAAAAAGAAACAATCTTGTTGTACAACAATAACAGTATAGATATCCACAATATCGACTAAAATTGCAAGTCTACACATTGCTGATATATAATTAAAGTAACAATTAAGATGAATAAATTAGAGAACTTACCCTGTATCAAATGACAAGAAATACATTATAACATGGATAGGTCCAACACAGAAGACTCGAAATCACGCATCTGTCGAACTGTGCTTGAGGTCCCGTTATTTTTTCTTTCTTTTTTATATTTGTAAGATATCCCTCGAACTACGGATCTCTCGAACTACCGTGGCTGGTCCCAACAAATTCGAGCCGTTCGTGTTATACTGTATTTCATATTGCTTCCATTGAATAGGGGAAGTGGGGTAGAAATAAATCCTAAGAGCCAAATAAAAGTCATTCTGTTTATGTTTCAAGAAATCCAAGAATAAGAATTAGGAAAGGGATACTTTTTAATTTAATAATACATATCGGCAGCCTTTTATGCTCTTGGAAAGAGTAATACGGCAGAGGCTGTCTAAATGCTCAGTTTGCTGCCAGAAATAGAAAAGTAGAACACAACAAATGTACATACATGAATGTGTGAAATCAATTATCTTTCTGAGCTGGTAATCACTGGGATGGAATAGGGATAATTTCGAGTCTTCAGTATTCGACCTATCCGTGTTATACTGTACAACAGTTTGTTGTCACAACATGCTCAAACACAAACATGCTCAAACACAAAACAGTTCAAAAATACTTAGGTAAGCTCTAGATAATCCCCAAAGCATGAAATTGTTTTTAACTCTCTCTTCAGAATTGGCACCAAAATACTTTTTTAGAAATGACAAATGAATAAAAGGAAAAAATTGAAGTGCTACCTGAGAAGATATCTTAACATGAAAGAAATGTGTACAAACAAAGGTCTTCCTCAAAACTGCCTGTCTGCTTAACCGGTGAAGCCTTATGCTCTCCTTATACTTTCAGCAATGGTCATGGTCAGCTGCATCACATTTTCAGACTCAGAAACAAGCGGGACGTGAATTGCAGTTTCTCTTGCTATTCCAGCACTACTTTCTCACAGCCCAATGTTTCGATGGGAGAACCAAGCACTCCAACTTCGAAATGACCTACATATTATCATGTTGGGCGTGAAGAGCATCTCACTTCAGCAGCAACATCAAAATAGTAACGTTGATTAACTCTTTTTTTGTTTGTTGCCCCGTCAGATTGGTCACGGCTGTGTCTCCAGACTGGCAGAGTAGGATTTAAAAAAAAGATTTTCGTAGAAAATTAGCCAATTATAGACGAAGCGAAGGATCTATCTATCTATCTATCTATCTATCTATCTATCTATCTATCTATCTATCTATCTGATTACCTCCATTTGAAGTAATGAATTGTGTCACTTGACCAGCATAATATGTAAAAAGAAAATGTATCAGCAGTCATACTCACCAAAATATCTATGCAGCCAAACTTTTGAACAGTCTCTTTAACTAGTTTTTCTCGAACAGCCGGATCTGTAATATCACCTGTCACTGTGTGCACCTACAAAAGAGAAGGTAGCATATTAAAACTGAAAGCAGACCAGAAACAAATTGTCTTGCTTTCCATGAAAAAAAATACTCCTTTATTTTGCATAGAAGTTGAGATATTTGAGATTGAAAGAGTTGGGTCGCCTGGTTTTAGAGGTAAAATAAACAAGAAAATGGCGCCAAAGTCCGTTGACTTCAAAGCTAGAGAAGCTTTGGAAAGTGAGCAATTACATTTTTGTGCCTTTAATCAAAGTTTCCCCCAGTAAAATTTGATACAAATCCGATAAAAATCGCCAAACCAGAGGGGGAGAAGCCGGTTTCTTCGATTTCACTATTTTGACGAGCGCCTGATTTCACCACGATGCCTCACATCATGAACATGAGAGTATAGCAGATAAAAAGGACTAACAATCAATTTCTTTTTATCCTTTTCTATACAATTCATGAAATATCTGTGGTCTAAATCTTTTGTTGTGAAAATATTTGTGTCTGGCACAATTTGTATTTCTTGTTCCACGAGACATCAAAACAACTTGTGGCCAGAATTTCATCATCCCAAAAGTTAATTTGTACAAAGAATGAAAAACACAGTCGTTATAATTTGTTTACTAAAAGCTGTTCTGAAAAACATCCTGGCCTTTGAGATAAAACGTATAGCTTCGTATCAAAATCTCATAACATTGTCTGACATGTTTCTTTGCTCTATGAGTTGAGTGCATGGATTACCCCCACATACAGTATGGTTGTTTTTCTTACGGAGTGGGGTGGGGGTGGGAGGGAGAGAAACCAGAGGCTGGGGGAAGGTAAATTGTAGGAGGTTGATCCGCTTGGGGTCTGGCCTCACTGACTTCTTGAAAATACTTCTGTCTGGTCACAATAGCTGTCGCTACACTTGTCAATCGTAATCTTTACCACCGCAAGGTTCTTTATTAACGGCACTGCAAAACAAAGCAACCCATCCGCCCGCTCACACCTCAATTGTAAATACATGTACCACCATTTTTGATAGACGAGTAAATGCCCCAGCACTGTATTTACTTTGGTCAGTCAGAAGGGACTAACACTGTAATACACTAATGATAATTAGCATTTGCACAGCGCATATCCCCTCTTGACAGCAAGCTCTATGCGGTTTACACTATATTATTACCCCAGCAGACCATAGAACACAAAGAAACATTCTCAGCTTCCCGGGAAGCATACAGTGCAAGCAGCTGATTAAGCGCGCCAGCACCAATAAACTGACAAGATCTTTCATTGTCAATAGCTGGGTACCCACTCCCACCTGAGTGAAGTGAGGGAAATTTGTGTAAAGGGCCTTTTCAAAGGACACAAGGTCGGGCTCCTGACGGGATTCGAACCCATGACCTTACGGCTGCGAGCCTGAGCGCTCAACCCCTACCCACTTAGATGTCAGGAGACCGCGGCTGATCAGATATGGGACTTTCACTAGACCGTCGTAGCGCGGAAAAAAACCTTTAACTAAATTGAAACCTTATATTCTTTGTATTCAAAACATGTTGGCATACACAGCAAAATCCATACATAATGAATAGATTTCAATGTCACACCGATTTCACTATGTGTCTGATAGACTGTACAGCTGGTATTCAAAGCTGACCTCATCTGGTGAAGATCCATTCTGCAAAAGCATTTGCTTCACTCCTTCCAGCTTCTCTTTATTGCGTCCATGAATTGTAATTTTTGCACCTCGCTTAGACAAAAGTCTGGCAGCGGCTTCTCCAATCCCCGAGCTACTTCCTGAAGAAAAGATAAGATGCATTTTAGGAGCGAGTAACTGCCTAATACATAATAAGCACAAATATAATGCAACAACAACAACAACAAAAAAAGCTACCAACAAAAAAAAAAAAATGTTGGCTGCATATTTCCGGAAAATATTTACTAAATCTATGAAATTGTTGAATTATTTCCACAAAAGCACAGCCATCTAAGAAAAATAATGAGGGGACAATAATAATTGTAAGAAATCTCTGTAATATGTGTGAGCTTCGCTTGATTAATTTTTCATGATTGCACAAAAAGGTACACAAAGAACAATGTACCTCAAACTCATAATCTGTCGCCTGCATCAACTTCATTCCAGAACAAATTTTAAAAGATTGGACTGATTTCACTATTACTAATCGGAATAAGGTGAAGATAATCTTAACAAAACAATAATCTGAACCTGTAATCACAGCAACACGATCCAGAAGACTGAGGCGATCCATAACAGGATGTGTTGAGTTTTTACTTTGATCTGAAACAGAAAATCAAAGAAGACAGAAGGTTCGTGCGACGCAGTTTTTATGCAAGCCAATACGTTTTGCTCATTTTAGGGTTGGCACGAAAAAAATGTATTGTAAATTGTATCTGTAAGGATAAGTAGGCCGACCGTACTTAACAACACAAAAAAGCAAATGCACAGGAAAAGTTGAGAAGTCAGAAAGTAGGCCCATACATAATGCGTCAGAATTCACAGTAAGCTCAAAGCGGAACAGCTCTATCACCTGGTAAGCTGTGATCAATGAAGAAATTTCAAAGGGTAGGCTTGGTTTTAATTTCTATCATTACAACATTAGCATTCCTTATCTGAATACGGCATGATACATATTGATATATATATATATATATATATAGGCATACGGTATTGATTTTAGGCTATATTTTACCTCAGTACTCTGACATTAATTGTAAATAAAGATGTCGGCCTGTCAGATCAACTAGAAAAATATAGGTATTCTTTTACTTTCCCTCCCGTCTCACACACGATAGCATTAATATTATAGTAATTTATACGTGTCCATTTTTTACTAGCCTGCATATTGATGTGCTGAACACGAATATTGACTTCATTTCCGTCGTAGTAAGTTAATAGTTTTCACAAAATATTTGATGGTTTTTAATCGAGCTATCACACTTAGCCTAACTGTATTGTAATTTCCACACTTAGAACCAATCGGGGTGGTTATGAAATGATGTCTAAAACCTTTATTTGACTGATTGCACTATGCGCGCCGATCATTTTAACCTTTTTTAGCTAATAAAAAGGCAGTGGGGAGAAAGAGAGAGAGAGAGAGAGAGAGA